TATTCTGTAGGATGTCTTTTCACTCTATTGATTGTTTCCTTTACTGTGCAAAAGCTTTTCAGTTTGATATAATCCCGTCTGTTTATTTTTTTTTGTTGTTGCCTGTGCTTTTGGGGTGTTATTCATAACGTCATTGCCCAGTCCTAAATCCTGGAGCATTTCCCCTACGTTTTCTTCTAGGAGTTTTAAAGTTTCGGGCTTTATATTTCGGTCTCTAATCCATTTTGAGTTGATTTTGGTATATGGTGAATGGTACGGATCAAGTTTCATCCTTCTACAAATGGATATCCAGTTTTCCCAGCACCGTTTACTGAAGAGGCAGTCTTTTCCCCGATGTATATTCTTGGTACCTTTGTCAAAGATCAGCTGGCTGTAAATACGTGGAAGTTTTGAAAACTCAGGAGAGTTGTGGTAAATAAAGGTCCTAATACAATACAGTTGCCCCGCATTATCAGTGGTGGATTGGTTTCAGGACTCCCTACAGACACCAAAATCTGAGTATGCTCAAGTCCCTTATATAAAATGGCACAGTATTTGCATAAAACCTACACACATCCTCCTGTATACTTTAAATCATCTCTAGGTTACTTATAACACCCAATACAATGCCTACGCAAAACTGCATTTGCATAGATTGAACGTAGTACCTGCTGTGCAGGAAATTTAAGTTTTGCTTTTTGGAACTATGTGGAATTTTTTTTTTTCTGAATATTTTCAATACACAGTTGGTTGAATCCATAGATGTGGAACTCACGGATACAGAGAGCTAACTATTCTTTTAGGGAGAATTTTGATTCTTGATAAATAGTCTCAAATTCTCTTTGCAGTTTTTATTCATTTCTTCATTAATTCACTGAACAAATATGTGCCAAACAGAAAAGGGTGAGTAAGAAACATATACATAACTCGAGATCTCACAAAGCTTACATCACCGAGATACAGAATAGGGAACACACACTAAACAATGAATTAAAAGTATGCTATAGTACTACAAAGGAAAAGAATAGACCACTTTGAAAATATATAACAATGAGAACTTTATCTGCTCCAGGAGTTGAGGAAAGATTTCTCAGAAAGAAATATAAAGTTGAAACCTAAATGAAGAAGACTGTCATTCAAGATAAGGCTGGAAACCAACATGGACTCTTCCCCTCCACACTAACCTTTGATGTGCCACAAAAATAAGACAGAGGTTGATGGAATTCCCAAAACTACTATAACATGAATCTGTACAAACTGTGAGCAACTCCTGGAGAGACAAAAGACAACTAGATCCCAGTGTGCACAAGACTCACTAGAGCTGTCTAGATCAGAGGAAAGCTGGTGACCATGGGTGAGAGATAAGCTGGGAAAAGACTTGTAAAATATATCCATATCTCTCCCTGATATCGGCCTGGGCTGATCACTGTTCACCAGGTGGCAGAAAAGCAACAAAATCTTGAAATTTTATTAATTTTAAAGTAAAATTATTCTCAATAGTCTCTAACAAGTAGTTTAGCATTGTCTGACTATTCTATAGCACAAGAACATTAGCAAGATTATCAGAAAACAGAAAAAAAGATAAATAAGCCACAAAATTTTTGCTAATAATTTATAATATTAGTGTATCTCTGATTTTTTCAAAAGTGGAATCTTCTATGTCCAGAAAATTTTAATGTGACACAAGCTAAATAATCAAACACCTGACAGTGGGTATCCTTGTCTTCTTCCTGTTCTCAAGGGAAAAGCCTTCAGCTTTTCTCCATTCAGGATGACATGGCAGTGGGTTTGTCATATACCTGACAGTGGGTATCCTTGTCTTCTTCCTGTTCTCAAGGGAAAAGCCTTCAGCTTTTCTCTATTCAGGATGACATGGCAGTGGGTTTGTCATATATGGCTTCTATTATGTTGAGATACTTTCCTTCTATACCTAATCTGCTAAGAGACTTTATCATGAAGAGATGTTGAATTTTGTTGAATTCTTTTTCCGTGTCTATTGAGATAATCATAGTTTTTGTCGTGGTGTATTGACTTGTGTATGATGAACCATCCTGCACTCTCATATTTATCACAGCTCTATTTACAATAGCCAAAATATGGAACCAACCTAAATGTCCATTAACAGACAACTGGATAGGGAAAATGTGGTATATATACTCAGTGGAATACCACTCAGCCATTAAAAAAAAAAAAAAGAAAGAAATTCTACTATTTGCAGCAACATGGATGAGCTTGGAAAAAAATGTTAAATAATTTTTTTATTATTTAATAAGCCAGAAACAGAAATAAGCCAGACACAGAAAGAGAAATATCACATGTTCTCACTCATAAGTGCATGCTAGGAAGGAAGGAAGGAAGGCAGGCCCTCAATAATACACTGATCTTTCAGAGGACAGAACAAATCTATGGTTACTAGAGGTGGGATGGGGGGGGAGAAGGGGGTTGGGGAGAGACTGCGTAAGGGGCATAAAGAATATTTATGATTTGTAATGATGGATTTGCTAATAATATTGATTTGATCAATACATGTAAAAATAATCAAAAACTTAAATCACAGTACTTAAAATAATTTCAAAGTACAGACATATGTTTAACACCATTATAAATACATTTACATTAGTATTTATAAATACGTACCATAAGAATTGTTTGATTAATTACCCTTTAAGTTATTAGCTAAGTATTTGTTTCATGTGATGGCAAGTAATGAAAATGTAAGCACTGAATAATTACAGATATATACAGTAGTCCCTTGGTATCTGTGGGTGACTGGATCCAGCACCCTCCCCACCCAACCCTTCCCACATACCAAAATCCTGGAATATTCAAGTCCCATAGTCTGCTCTTCAGAACCCAAGGATATGAAAAATCAACCCTCTATATACAGGGGTCCCACATTCACGAATACCATATTTTCGATCTGTGGTTGGTTGAAAAATATCCAAATATAAGTGGACTCACACAGATCAAATCCATGTTGTTCAAGAGTAAACTGTAATTATATAATGGTGACAGTGGGATACTACTGAGAATGGCTAAGATATCACTCTATATAGGAAAGTCACTTTATGACCACACCTTAACTATATAGGCCTCAATCTCTCACATTAAAATTCATTGCTAAGGGGCCGGCCCGTGGCTCACTCGGGAGAGTGTGGTGCTGATAACACCAAGGCCCCGGGTTCGGATCCAACATAGAGATGGCCGGTTCGCTCACTGGCTGAGCGTGGTGCTGACAACACCAAGTCAAGGGTTAAGATCCCCTTACCGGTTATCTTTTTAAAAAAAAAAAAAAAATTCATTGCTAAATATCTGTAACTGATTTTCCATGAAAATCTTATTTCTTAGCCTTCCCAATAGACTATGAATTCCTAAACAGCAAAGACCATGTTTTTGTTTGCCACATTTTAATACACATGCATTTTTACGGTAAGGACTCAGTAAATATTCACTGATTCTGAACAAAATAATCCTTAAAATTCACAAAAGTCTCACAGTGGGTCAGAAACTCAGAAGCCCATCTCATTTCCTCTCCACTCTGCTAAATGGTTAGAAAACTCAGAAAAAGTTTCTTCAGACCAGGTGTTGCAACTTTTCATTCATTCTCAGTCTATTTTGAATTTACACATTTTTCCCCCTGAATTTATTCTAAGATTAGTACTGCTCTCATAAAGGTCTCCTAATGTCTGTCCAGAAAAAATAACTGTCAATGTATAACAAAAAACATACATACTCATTTAGTTATTAAAATATCACAATTTTATCTCTCATTAAATCTTACGCTCAAATACAACTTTACCATTAAAACTTGTCCAAGGGGGAAAAAAAAAAAGTTGTCCAAGGAGTTCAGAAAGCCCACAAAAATATAATATGTGGATTACAAATAAAGTTGAACCATAAGAAAGTGCCCAGAAGAACCCAAAACTTAGCATCAAAATAAGATTGAATACATAAACTGGCCAATTAGCTCACTTGGGAGAGCATGTGCTGATAACACCAAGGTCAAGACTTCGGATCCACTTACTGGCCAGCCACAAAAAAAAACAAAACAAAACAAAACAAAAAAACCACTGAATTGATGTTGTAACACCTGGGAACGTTCAACGTTATGCACTTCCTTAAGCATGTGCTGATAACACCAAGGTCAAGACTTCGGATCCACTTACTGGCCAGCCACAAAAAAAACAAAACAAAACAAAACAAAAAAACCACTGAATTGATGTTGTAACACCTGGGAAGGTTCAACGTTATGCACTTCCTTAAAAAAACTGCCGACATTTTCATTTCCTTTTACAAAGCTAGATTTAATTGATCATTTTCATCCTCAAACTGAAAAATAAATATAAATAATATTTATATTATGAAAAATAAAAAGATAATATTACCAGAAAGATAGTTCTATTCATCCAAATTTATGTTTCATAAATTTTTCAACTATTGAGATGTACTTGGCAAAAACAGACATATGTGAAGCTGAAACAAAAGTATGGATAGGAGGAGGGAAAGTGAAGTAACTGAATACTCTGTATATTATGAAAAAGTATGTGACATGTTTTGGAAATACTCATTTCAAGACTAAAACAAAATAAAGAAAGTTTTGTTTCTTGACTCCAGCAAAGCCTATATCCAGCAACTAAAGCAGATAACTGTTATAACACCATGATTATTTTTAGTTGCAGTTAATGATCCAAACAATTAAGCAGCTGCCAGAAAGGACAGTCAGATCTCAGCTTAGAAAAAAGTCCTTTGTACTGGATGAATAAAAAAATTTAAAAATTTAAATAAGACAGAATGCTACAAAAGGAAAAGAAATAATAAACAACATACTTTTAAACATAATTCCTCAATTCTTTTTGTGTTCTACTCAATGTTCAAGTTAAGTCATGAATAATTCATGTATATGTTTACAGATAACTGCAAAGGTTCACAGTAAGGAAAGTTATACTAAATTAAAAATATTTTAAATGCATCACTTCATATTTTTAGAATATATATCAAAAACAGTAATTCATATTGCTTACTCATCTGTCTATCTCCATAGCTGATGGCTTCTGCCAGAGGGCTCCATCCCTGAGCATTTTTCACCTTTACTGGAGCATTGTGAGCCAAAAGTAAATGGGCACATTCTGCAACATAAAGTAGTAATAATATCAATCACTATTTAATTTTTAGAATCTCTAGATATAAGTACCATGTAAAGGTTTACTAAACCAAGTTAATATAAGTATATCTATGAAATAAATTCTGTATTATGTAGAATTAAATAATTTTTTAAATTCCTATGTATATAAGCCAGGTTATTTCAGATCCCCAGATTCAAATAGTATCCCTTCTACTACCTAAAAATAAACTGGATATCTCTGCAAAGAAAGTATTATGTTACGTAATTATTGTTCCCAAGAGTATTTTGAAAATGTTTTCATACTCAAAAAGATAACCCAAGAACCCCCAAGAGTAATTTACATCCAAGTATCTACTATCCAATAAGACCCAAAAAAGGATTTGCATGTCTGTAATATCAAATGAAAAGCTCGTTACTAACTTCAGGGAAAAAAAAAATTATGTTTTCAAAGAGAATCAGTAGTATTTCCATAAACCCTTACTTTTCAAATTTTATACTTTTTAGTTCAAAAAAAAGCTCCCAAAATGTCAATAACCTACTTATGATTACAAAGATAAATCTGGACATTTTTCAAGTAATCAAGTCTAGAGTTACATTCTATCTGTCAACAGGTTGAGAAACCTTATTAAATTTTTTTAAAAGGATATTAACAGACAAAAACATTTTTTTAATTGAGACTCGTGGGAAATTTAGGTAGGACAGCCATCCATTCACTCATTCAATAATTCATTAAGTCAAATTCCTATTATATGTCATTTTTAACTACCTGTATATAAGCAGTGAAGAAAAAAAGATAAGGTCTTGCTTCGGAGAGCTT